ATATTTATTCACCCAAACCATATTTGGTATCAATGTTATACCTAACAGTAACAATGACAGGAAGTCAGGACTGGGCATTCAGAGTACAATTCATGTTGAGGAATTAAAACAGATATTCAAATATGTTTTTTAAATCCTCCCTGCTTGACAGTTGAGTAACCAGGAGGAGAGAGTAATCATAGGTGGGCATCTGTCTTCTAATGTTTTAAAGGAAATAAAGGACAATTCTTGTCAGGGGTGGGCTTCAAAAATTTCAGCAACTGGTTCTCTGCCTGGTGGGTGGGTGGGCATGGCCATGGTGGTCTTGGCCTAGTCGGCCTCCTGCACCATGGCAGGGGGGGCTGTTTTCACCCTCCCCGGGCTCTGGAGGCTTTCCTTGAGCCTCCAGGAGGGCAAAATGGCCTCCCGGGCTCTGAAGGCCCTCCGGAGACCAGAAACGGACCCATTTCCAGCCTTCTGGAACTTCCGGGAGGCCTGTTTTCACCCTCCCTGGACTCCAGAGGCTTTTCTTGAGCCTCTGGGAGGGCTAAAATTGCCTCCCTGGGCTCCAGAGGCCTGTTTTCAGCCTTCCAGAGCATCCGGGAGGCCCATTTTTTCTCCTCCCCAAACCTCCACACGGGCCCTGTACTTACCTGGCATCCAAAACAGGTTGCATGGGGACTCCTGGGAGATGAGGGGCAGGTTGGGCGGAGCCAGCCAGGGGTGGGATTTTCCGGTTCGTTGAACTGCGCAGAATCTTAGCTAGAGGATCGGCCGAACCCATCGAACCCGTAGCAGCCTACCCCTTCTTCCCACAACTTGATGAAGTTGGCTGGGAATTCTGGAAGTTGCTGTCACAACACACAGCGGCTTAGAGGAAGCTGGTTTTAAATCAAGCTACTGGGAGAGGGAATATTTGCTCACACATACACACAGAGACACATCAGCCCAAAGACCATATTTGCAGTCTAAAGACTCATTGATCCAGCCCTGCCTTAGAAGGTAAAATGTTCACCGTGGAATGGAGAATTCTTTGAATCGGGTAAGGATGGCCCATCTGCTGTTAACTCTTTCTGGGATAAATAGATTTGCTGTAGATATCCATTACTCTGAGCATCAGCTTCTGGAGAAGCATATAGGTTTCAGTGATAGACAAAGCCCCCAACCTTTAATGATCACATACTAAAATGGCAACGAAATGAGTGATTTCTGATGATATGGACTTGTGTCATCGATTAATTGATTAGGAAGGCGAACCATTAGAATTAGTCCTTCCCCAACTCTTCCCCTATCAGCAACATGGATAGAATAATCATTTGCTTTAATGCAGCTATTAGAAGGACTATATTTCTAATAATCTAGTATTAAATCTGTTAACTTGTTAATTGGCAAAACGTTCTTGTTTGGAAATTGTGATTGGTAGCATTGAGGATACACATGGCAGAATTTCATGTGTGTGGTAGATGTTTTGAGTTTACGATGATTTTTATGCACACATGTGGCTTTCTTTCCTATGATTTATAATGTATTTCAGTTGTTTATTAAGTTTGTAAGTTGCCTGACTCCAAACAATTCTATGTAACTTCAGAAAGTTTAAAAGGACAACAATCCCTTAAACAAACATCTATAAAGCAACCACCATTCAAGGGAACAAAACTACCCTTCCAGACCCTTTCTACTTTAAATGGTCTGCTGTAGTGCTGGTTAAGTGACTGGGATGGACTGTTCCAATAGGTCCTTTTTCCCTGCAGTGAGAGGAAGCACCAATTAACTGAAAAGCAATCAGAGAATGATCTGACTATGACAAAGAGCAGGTGGCAATGTCTTCTATCTTCAGATAGAAGTTGCAATTGCTCCAAGACCAACACCAGAACTTTTGTGAGTCCTCCAACATAGGCTGGACTCTCAACAACAGGTCCATGACTGCCATGGGGACTATAAACTCCTCAGTGCCCCCATATTCACTGCTGCCTAGGGATAAATTAAAATCCCCAAGGACTATCAGCCTTGGGGAAGTCAATCACTAATCCATCCACAGAATCCATCAGCTCAGTTAGGGATGTTGCTGTGCAGCACAGAGGCTGATACAACAGGAACACTGTAAAGGAACTGTAAAGAGTTTGACTTCAGGCACACGGTCCCATTTACATACTGCCTGTCAAAAATTATTATTAAAAAAAATTTGCTTATATCTTGTCTGCAGAAAAAAAAGTGGAGGAAAGCAGGGGTATACTGAATCAATGTCTGGCATATCTTCCTACCCTGGTATAAATTTTGTTTCAAAGACAAGTTGTTCAAAGTTGTTCTCAGAAGGCCCACTATATTTGGGTTGTGTGGCTTGGTTGTTGGTCTTGGTCAGGTGGAAATTCGTATCGACTGTTGCACATATAGTATGAGGATTTCGGCCACTTTTTCAGAAAAGGTTTCTGTTGTTGCATCTGAGGTGACCACACTCTAACTAACAACTCTTTCAGCGACAGATCCATTGACTGAATTCTCTGATTCTTACAGGTGCACTTTTATTGACCATGAAGCTACTACTATTTCTGGCATTGCACTGGATGACTTTCTTTCCTGGTAAGGGTCATTTCCTTCCCTAAATCCACATCTGGATACTGGAATTCATTCCACCAATGATATTGCAATCTGCATGTTTTTTTCTGAGGATAAGAGTCACTGGTACCAAAGGGCATAAGAATTCATCAAAATCAGAAACTTTTTAAGGATGGCATCCTATTTGTGGAATGCTTCCCAAAAAAGTTCTTGAGTACCTACAATATGGTCCTTTTGGTACCAGATAATGGTTTTTTATTTTCATAGGCATGAAAAAACCCAAAACATTTTTTAACCATGTAATTGTTACATATCACAGGATTTTAAATTCTGAATTTATTGCTCTTCTTTCTGATTTGTAGTTTCTTTGTATTGTTGTGTTTTCATGTTAGTCTTTATTCTATCTTTCTTGGTATTTCTACTGAGCCACAGAGTTGTCTAGAAAAACAGGTGTAGTAGCAATAACATTAATTTTCCAGTTTAAAAACCATTAGTTCTGATCTCCATGCTGTTTAAAAAAACAAAGATAAGAGATGTAGATATTAAATATATGCACATTTATATATTGATAATATTCTTACCAGCAAAGATTGCTTGGTTATATGCCATCAAGTTCTTGTTGACTTTTAGCAATCACATAGATCAGTGTTTCTCAGCCTTTGCAACTTAAAGATATGTGGATTTTAATTCCCTGGATTAATTCCGTGATTCCAGCCAGCTTTGCTGGAAATTCTGAGAGTTGAAGTCCACAGACCTTCAAGTTGCCAAGTTGAGAAACGCTGACGTAGATAGATTTTCTTCAGGATGATCTTTCAGGTCTTCCAACAGTGCATCCATTACCACCATAACTCAGTCCTTCCACCTGCTGCTGGCTGTCCTCTTCTTCTCTTCTCTTCCACTTTTCTTAGCATTAGAGCCTTCTCTGGAGAGCTTGGTTTTCACACAACGTATCCAAAGTAGGATAGTTTACGCAAAAGAGCTAGACGGAAATCTCCCTTTTCTTTCATAAGCTGTACTCTTCAAGGAACAATTGGAATTGATTGTAATCACAAGGAAAGTTGTAACAGGAATACATTTACCAGTATCCGGTTGAAGAAATCTGTTCCTGATCATTTGACAGAGTTGATAGATCATTTGATCTATTCACTCCTGTTCATATTAACATTGTACAGTATATAAACTGGATTTTTTTTTGTTTTTCCTTGAAGACCTTTTGCTTCTCATCCCAGAAGCTTCTTCATTTCCAAAGAAGTTTCTTGAATGAGAAGCAAAAGGTCTTCAAGGGAAAGACAAAGAAAACCAAGTTGTCTCTTGAAAAAAGCACCCTTGGGACAACCATGACCTGGATGATTGAGAATCTCCATAGACATTGTGTATAAACATTTATATAAAACTCCATTGGATCTTTTATTCAGATATTTACCGTACATAGTTAGAGGCCCATCCTCTATGTTACCATGTGCACTATGGCAGAATAATCGCAAATACGATGGAAAGAAATAAAAAAATACTTTTAAATATGATTATATCAATCCCATATAGCATTGTTCTTTCTCTTGGGCAAATCCTGCCACCCTTCCTATCATGACACACACAGTTCCCTGTTCACCCTTTGTAAAGAACATATCCATAGGATGGTGCCTTCATCTCATCTTCATCACATCTGTAGCATATAATAGAGGGAGGTCAAAGTTGTATTTAGCTGTCCAGTTCTAACATGGTGTCTTAATTCTTTTCCCAACCTAGTTTTTCAACATCATTTCCGGGCTGCTTTAACATTTGGTGTTTTTGAGCATTAGAATGGCAGGTTGATTGGAAGGAACTGTGGTTGATATTTTCTACTCTACACCATCACCTGACAACTTCCTAGTTTCTCCCACTTCCAAAAAAAAAAAAACCATGGAGTTGTTCACTCCTGAAACAGCTGATAACTAGGCTCTGTGAAATCCAAGAACTATCCCCGAGAGGATTTCCCCAGGCAGTGACTGCTTCTTATTCTCCTTCTTTGAAAATGAATATGTGAAGATCAAAAACATTTTCTTTTCTCTAAAAGAGCGATCGGCTTTCTCCCTAGCAACATCAACTGCACAACCTCCGCTGAAGATGTGTCAAACTATAGTCCCCAGAGCTGATCATGCATAGAAAAGATTGCCTAATCAGTGTAATCAGCTGTGCCTATGAAAGATGTTTGCTTTTCTTTAATTATAGCATTACAACTTTTGCCAAAGTCAAAACATACCCCAAAGTAACTCCAAATAAACATCACATCTAAAAATTCTGTAGAGGAAGTGCTAATTATATAATACCCGTTCTTTTGCACAGAATATAAAGCAAACTCTTGGCTGAGATTGAAACAAGGATGAATCACAACTGGAAGAATGTCTCCTTTGCTGAATAGGTGCTATTCATAATCAACCATTGTTCAAACACAGTTCCTTATGTCACGAAGAGCCAGCTGCAATAGGATCCTCAGCACAGAAAACTATTCTTGGAGCTCTGCTGTAGATTGAAGTTTGGGCCCCCAGGTTCAGTGGCAGGCATCTCAAAATGAAAACCCCCCAAAAAGACAGCTTCTATACTGCATCAGGAGTGAATAATTTCGGTCCTTCGGGTGTTACTAAACTACAACTCCCAGCAGGCCCAGTTTGGTGAGGAATCTTGGGAGTTGTCGTTCAGCTGAATGGCCACAGGATCTTTATCCTGTATGGGGGTATAATACAGTGGTGGTATTCTACCGGTTCAGCCCGATTCTGGTGTACCAGTAGCGCCAAAGATCAGCTGGCAGAGAACCAGTTCACTCCTAGTCTCTCTGACGCTCTGCAATTGGATTCATCCACCCACCCCTGCTCCTTTTTAACTTCTCAGCTGTATGACGCAGCAGAGTGGATTGCTCTACTAAACATCTGAGAGGCACAGTAGCTTAGTTTTTACTGTTTTAATGCATGCGCAAAGCACACGTTTGGTGTACGCACCTGCAAGGCGCATGAACCCCCCCCTGCAACCACACCCACCATTGATATAATACATTTCTAGACACATCTCCTCACACTTTGTGAAATGTCTAAGATATAATTTTAATTCAAATCTACATTTAGTACATGATAGTCCAGACAGGACATACATTTACATAGTAAGTTTTCAAGCTAATCCTAGGTAGTTTACACCTTAAGGGTAAAAGCATCAGATAAGTAATAGCTAAAAACAAGAACTTAAGATCAGAGGCTATACAGTGGACATCAGGGAAGAGAAGAGTTTGAACACATCCCCCATCAAAAACTAGATTTGGAAGCAGTCATCACCATTATATTTCAAATCCTGATTCAGGTTTTTTTTACAGCTTTATGGAAGTCCAACAGGGCTGAGTCCATATGAATCTCACACCACCAAGAAGGCGTGTCTCCTAGGTCCCACAAGAATGCTTTGCAGTCAGGATTTGGAACACTCCAACTCTTCCAAATCTTACTGGTCTTCAGTTTCATTCCGTTCCCACAAACTTTACTAGCTTTGAAAGATATTCTGCTTCATTAAACATCTGCTAATAGAACTTAAAGCTAGCATTATTATTGTTAAGGACAAATGAAAAGATTCAAAATATTTCTGTCCCTATGGATGGAAGAACTTTTTGTATCCTAAAAACATGAATATAACTACTTTTGAAGAAAACATACATTCCGTTTAAGCTTAACCTAATTCTCTAGAGACCATTTGTAAGACAAAGAAGTTATGCACTAACTTATCAATGTTTTCTTTGACCAGAGAGAACCTGGAGTTCCCTGAAAGAGGCCCAAGATGGAAGGTACTCTTGGTACCACTCTCTTCAGGTACAATGCGTTACACTAATATAGATTTGTCTTTCACAAGATGATTATATCATTATTCAAAAGAAGTTCTATTAAACCATCTTTCCCAGTCTAGTGACCTCTAAATGTGCTGGAGATGCATTTCCCAGACAACATTGACCATTAGTTATTGGTAAATTGGTTTTGCTGTGATTAGTTTCTCCAGAAATGCTTTATAATTTAAGAGCCGTGGTGGCACTGTGGTTAGAATGCAGGCTACGTCTGCTGACTGCCAGCGTCCAGCAGTTTGGCAGTTCGATCCTGACCAGCTCAAGGTTGACTCAGCCTTCCATCCTTCCAAGGTCGGTAAAGTGAGGACGCAGATTGTTGGGGACAATAGGCTGACTCTGTAAACCACTTAGAGAGGGCTGTAAAGCACTGGGAAGTGGTATAAATCTAATTGCTATTGCTATATAGCTACAAAGTCAACGCTTTTGGCTATTTGAAAACAAAAGAAAAAGAAAGCAGCTTCTGTTTCTCCACGAAAACCCTAATTCTCAACAATTAATGCCTAAAAACTTGTCCTCCATGTAAGAGTACTCTTCTGCACATTCATGGTCAAACATTGGATTTGATCTAAACCAAATGAGGCAGTTAAATCTTATAGAAAGGAACTAAGGAATGAAATGAACTTTGCCATACTAGAGGCTGAAATGCCCAGTATTAGTGCACATATATGTAATACACCCATCTGTCAATATTAAATAAGCCTTGATTTTAGGAATTAAAGTGAAGTCCCTGGAAATTTAACAACCAATTGTGGTAATATCAATTCCCCTGTGCCTACTTGTGGAGTAGTTTCCCTAATCATCATCAGGGCCATCCAGGGTGGAAAAAATGCACAATCTGTCCTCTTCAGAGACCACTCCAGAGCAAAAAAGGACAAGCCAAAAGACCATGAAACACAACTCTTTTAGGGAGAGACATCACATTGTCTGGAACATTTATTATAGGAAAAAGTTGAGTTGGGAAGGGGCAGGTTAGAGGAGGCATAAGAGTAGCGTATGTACTAGAACCAAGGTCTTTCAGAGAAGTTACCTGGTAGAAAATTGGTGAGTGGTGGGCGAGTGGGTAAAACAAAAACCATTGCCCTCCCCCGACCCGGTCCATGGGAAAATTGTGTTCCTTCCATCCCTGTTGCCAAAAAAGTTGGGGACCACTGGGTTAGACAAACGTGTGGATGATAAAACTGCCAACGGCTACCGGTCACTGTAAAATCACTCCTTATCAGTTACTAAGAAACCTAAGAATGATCTTGGATTCATAGTCTTCCAGTAGATTGCAAGGAACATCCTCCTGCACCCCCAACCTATGTTCTCCTAAAGATCAATTTTTTTTTCATCTTTCCTTCAATTTACACGGCACTAGTCAAAAATGGTGATTTGTTTTGCTATATGCACACATACATTTGTATGTAACACATACAAAGAGAATATAAGTAATACCACTGTCACGTTTATTTTTACATGCATTCTGTTCACTTAGGTAGCCGGAGAAAGATTTGAAGAACATATTAAAACCATAACTATTCTCTTGCAAAAGTTTGACCGATCAATGAAAGAGCAAGTAGGAGCTTTAGACAAATTGGCAAGTAACCATTTCAAGAACTTGGGGGAATGGCTCAAAGAACATACTAGAGATCTTAATGTGTGGCTCACTATGTACTTTTGGGCCCTACAAGAGTTTCACAACAGATATATGAAAGATCCTGACTATATGCTGGCTAAAGAGATTGTACTCCGTGACAAATGTTGGAATGAAGATATGAATAAAGACAATCTGTGGCTGGAATATTCTAACAGTACCACGTGGTTGGAAGAAGCCCCTCTAATTGTCTACAAAGCCCTGAGGATGCAAGGTAGTAACCTCAAAATATACACTGAAATTCAAATCCAGCATATAGAAGATCACCTAAGATTCTTAGAACAGTTATTGGATAATTACAGTGCAGCAGCCAGTAAATGGCTAGAAGGTTATGCTACAGTTAAAGAAACATCCTCGCAGAATTTCACCTGGGATTTTTTCACTGTGGGTTCAAAGGCACAAATGCTAGGAAGAAAGCTTGTAACAGCCTTGCAAGGGAATTGCCTTATGGTCATGAAATGGCTTGAAGAGAATGTTGAGGTTATTGAACAGTTGCTGTGGAATATCATAAATTAGTAGCAGAAGAACAAATAGCATTTTAAAGACTTTTCAGTAATTTTACAGTTTCAGCTGAGTTCTACGTAACATCCATTCCAGGAAGAATCCAAATATGCTATGGATTTCTCCAATCCACACACTTATCGGCTGTAATATCTGAGCAGGAATAAAAACTTTAGAAATATTTCCACAGTTAATCTTTCTTTTCTTTTCTTCAGCCTAAATCATACAACCAAATGCTTTGTGGAAAAGCATTTGCCTCTTAATCATTTTGGCCAATGCATTGTGGTTTTTACTAATTTTTAGAGAAGTCATAATATAAAAAAAAACAATTAGAGACATTGTCTAAAGAAATTCCTTCTTGGTTCACTTCAAAGGAGGTGTGTGCATTGAACTTAGTCTTACCTTTTCACAGCAAACAGAAGTGGAAAAATGTGTGGCTGTGTAAATGAAATAGACATTTAATAAATCAAGAAGAACTCTAAGGGATTTAACATTTTAGCACTCCAAAAAGACAGATTTTGTGCCTACAAAATCGCTACTTATCAGGATTACTTTCTGACTTGGGACACAACACAAACACAGTGCAGAATTGGAAAGTCCGGGTAGTTTTCAATTCAGCCAGGGAATTAAATAAAAGGAAAGGAAACACACTTAATATGTTTTTATATTAATTATATTAATTACAATAATATTACTTTTTAATAATGTTAGTTAATAATTACTTATTGATTAATTATATTAATTATTAATAATATTAATTAATAATAGTTAACACCATGCAATTTAGTATACTCCTCTATACTTCTTTCTCCTTGAAAAGTATATTTGTTTCCACCATATCCATGAACATTGACTACTGGTGGAAATACAAAAAAGTAATTAAATAAAATAAATAGCTCTGGGAAATGATGCTAGAATACATGGGTTTCTTTTTAATTAAAAGTATGAATAGGTTAGGCCAGTACAGTTCCTGAGCGTGTCTAGGCACCAGGACATAAAGGATAAAAACCAACATTTTAAGTTATACTCAGAACTGAATAACTAATGTATGGCTTATAGTATCGGCCCCTTAAAATGTGGGTACATGAGGTTTTGAACATGGTGGTTAACGGTGATGCTATTTGGGGCTTCTGCCCTTCCTTTATTATGATGCCCTGTGTTAATGATGTTAAGGAAATACAAAATACTTTCAAAGCCAGGTCTGGGATATGTTTCTCTTTCTTAGAAAAGGAAGAGCAATACTTCATGAAAGGAAAATATTTTTCTTTTTTAATAAATACAATACTAGATATTAAAACACACACACACACACACACACACACACACACACACACACCACCCTGGCCAAGGCAGGACAAAGATTAATGACATTAATATATATTCATTTCTTCTCTTTAAATTATATCAGTTCTTTTCTTCTCCACACATAGATATGTTTACAGAAATCATTTTGCATATCAAGTCGGCAACATTTTTGCAGACAAGAGTCTCTTGAAAAATTGGACTTGAAGACCACTAGGGAAATGTCCAGTGATGCCAGAGGTGGTATTCAGCAGGTTCTGACCAGTTCTGGAGAACCGGTAGTGGAAATTTTGAGTAGTTCGGAGAACCGGCAAATACCACTTCTGACTGGCCCCGCCCACATCTATTCTCTGCTTCCTGAGTCCCAGCTGATCGGCTGAGTCTTCTTTTGTTGCCTTACACAGGAGAACGGAGCTGAAAAGCAGGTTAGTGGGGTGGGGAGGGAACGGGATTTTGCAGTATCCTTCCCCCAGAAGTGGGATGGGAATGGAGATTTTACAGTATCCTTCCCCTGCCATGTCCACGCCCACCACGCCATGCCCACAGAACCGGTAGTAAAAATGGTTGTGGGTGTGTGTGGAAAGATGAACCAACAATTCTGCCCATTGGTGGTGCACGTGGAAGATACCAACAGTCAACATTTATATCTTAAGATCTGCAGAAGAAAAAATGATCCTGGGTTGGGAGTATCGAAGTTTCAAGGGGTAAAATTAAACTCTTAAAATTCCCCAAGTCTTTTTAAATTTAAAACAAACTAACTAAAAGACTGAGGTAGAAATTTAGCATAGCCGGCCCAGTTGTGTGCCAAAGGTCTCATCATGGAACCCAGACCTGTAGGTTGCCAATCTTGTGAGGTATGGTACGAACAATCTTTTCTGGAAACAAGAAATTACATGATCAAAATGGCACTACCATGCGGAATTGGAAGTTATTGGCAGGCAATGGAAACGTTAGGTGTTGAGGAGGACCCACTTCCTGGGATTCTCCTTTGTGTAGCAGTGGCTTCCATATTTATTTATTATTTTTTTGTTCAGCACACATGGTACATTCCATAATTTGACCAGACTTCTTTGTGTATTTTTTATTAATCACTGTCTGAAATTCTACTCCCTTCTATGACTTCATTCTCTTCTGATTGAGAAACCAGATTTTCAAGGCATGTAACTTGCAACGCATGCTTAAAACATTTCTAGCTTGCTTGCAACTTTCACCCTGCTCTGGCGGGGGCATATTTCATCCATGTTACTCAAAAAGAGTCTCTGCTCTTGATAGAAGCTCTTAGTGATCTTGACTAACCTTGAAAGCTAAGCAATGTTGGACCTGAATAGCACTTCAGTTACTAAATCTCAAGGGTCTAGAGTAGACTGACAAGAAAGCAGGGATAAGCACTTCCTTTCTGCTGCTAAAAAAGAATAACCTGTCCATGAAGTCCCTGGAACATAAATTTAACATAAATTCAAGGAAATCTTTAGCTCTGTAATTAATGGGGAAAAAAACATTAGCCAAAGTGAATAACTAGAAGACCCCACAAGTTTGGAGCAAGGATCATGAGATTTTCATTCACTGTGATTTTATGTGGCATAGTAAACTGATACTTCGCAGCTTACAAGTTGTAGCCTATTCTACTGAAAAATGTTATGAGAAATGTTATTCATTTGTATTTCTTCTCTTTTAATAGAAGGGAGAACATAGTCTTGTTTTGGGAAATCTCCTTTGTTTGGTGCAATGGATTATAATCCCCACAGAGAAGATCAGCCTAAATTTCCATTTTCCATTTGCAGCTTTCCACATGCCCTTCATTCCACATACCCCTAACCACTTTAAAAGATACTGTATATTCAAGTAAGACACTAAATGGAAAATATATACATGAAATGGGAGCTCAAAACCAAGAAGAATAAGTCTTCCCTGTGCAGTAAATTCAAACAAATCCATTATTATTTGTAGGCAAAGTTTGAAAGCAGAAGTCGAAGTCTAATGTTGACCCCTCTTTTCTCTTGAGTGTCCCATCTAGGCAAGAGAGACCAAATCAATCTAGCTCAGCCTTTCCCAACTAGGTGGCCCCCAGAAATGTTAGGATTAAAAACTCCCAGAAATTACATTTCACTAAGAAAATGTCCTGACATGTTTGGAGAGGACCAAGGCTGGGGAAGTTTCAGGCTGGCCTGATCACATTTGGATAACGGTGTAAGAAAATAACAAAAGATCAAGAATTTCTTATTTTAGGCAGGCAAGTGTAAATGCCTTTTTGGACCCTCCAACAGATAGAAATGTTCGTGTCAGTCCAAAGAAGATGGTAGTGCTTTTTGTCTGGCAAGAGGTATGGGCCACAGCTATGTCTAGAATTTGGTTATTGAGAAGTGGGTTGAAGTTGGAGAAAAGGAAAGATTCCTGTTTGGATGAAAGGAGGAAGGCTTCAAGTTGTGCATTTTCTTAACAGGAGCCTGAAGAAGCTACAGAAAAAGGCAAATATTTCAGTGTCTTATATATATCTAAGATAAGAACACACGGAGCAAGACGGAGGCTTGTTTTCAGCTCTTCGCTCTATTACCAATCAGAATATTACCTCCATGTCTTTAGATTATAAAATAAGACAGGGAAAGAAGCATTGTACCATATGGTCAAGAACAGACTCAGAATCATGATCCAGGACTCTGATGTTCTTGCAGCACTGTGTTCAACACATGGAATCACTTATTGCACTTTTAAAGTTCTCACAGTGCCCCAAAGCCCTTTGTTTAGTGTTACTCCAGGACACTGTGAATCTTGAGGGTGCCTGCTGCAAATGTCCATGGCTAGGAAGCCCCTGGTCTGAAATAACTTCTGGTTCTCTCCCCTCTGCCTTGGTAATACAAGTTCTGAATCTCTGGCGTCAGAATCAGACTTCCCAAGATGAGATCCTTTTCAGTTATGGGATTCAAATTTTTTTACTACTGGTTCTGTGGGAGTGGCTTGGTGGGAGTGGCAGGGGAAGGATACAGTAAAATCCCTATTCCCTCCCCACCCCACTAACCTGCTTTCCAGCTCCGTTCTCCTGTGCAGAGCAACCAAAGAAGACCCGGCCAATCAGCTGGGACTCGGGAGGCAGAGAATAGATGGGGGCGGGGCCAGTCAGAGGTGATATTTGCCGGTTCTCTGAACTACTCAAAATTTCTGCTACCGGTTCTCCAGAACTGGTCAGAACCTGCTGAATACCACCTCTGCTCTTTTTACTTGGAGAAGCTAATTGAACTCTGGGGTTTCTGCATGTTCTACCCCTGAGCAACATACTCTGTATTAAAGAATTTGTGTTTGTTTTTCCTGCATGGAAATGGATGTTTTCCCTAAATAGAAAGATGATCTACACTTGAACAACAATTCCTTTCCCTTCTGCATAACTTTATGAATCCTGCATCCTGCATTTCAGCCTTCCATTGACTTTATAATGTACAGCTTGGCTTTTGACCAAGGATTTGAATTAGAAAGCATGTGTGGGTGCTGCCATGCTCTCTGATTCCAGAGGGCTTCAGGCCTTCTCTTCATGCGGTGGATGGGAGAAGGGGCTTTCCTCCTTTCCTTTTATAACTAGAACCTCTTACCTTCATTCCTCCTCTGCAATCTCTACATGAACAAAGCAGGCAGAAGCAAATATTATGCATAGTCTAAGATGTGATGGCTCAGTGGCTAAGATGCTGAGCTTGTCGATCGAAAGGTCGGCAGTTCAGCAGTTCGAA